TGGGCTTATGCTACTTCTTTCTCGGCTTCTCTTTCGGCTTCTGCTGGCGTCCCCGTGATGCCGCCCTTAAAAGCCCAGTCTCAGCCCAGGTGAATCCCATCTACCTATGTCCACACCCTATTCCAGGTGCCCGCCATCAGGCATGCATTCAGGACCGCAAGGATCCATCATCTATCCTAATGGCGGAGGGCAGAAAAGCCTGATATTTTTCCTTACCCTACAATCCCCTTTTCACAGATGAACAATTTGAATGATTTTGCCAAACTCACATCAAACTTGAGCTCACCAGAATGCAGTCAGGTTCTGTCACCTAAATCCTTCCTACTTTATGGCCCAACAGATCAGCAGTGTCACCTGGGAGCTTGTCTGATGCAAAATCTAAGGCCACACATATTCACATGCATTAAATCAGAAATTCTGTGGCAGGTGGAAGGGCAGCTTGTTTTAACACACCCTTCAGGGATTCTGAGAACCACTGCTCCAGAGGTGTCAAGATGTCCTGAAGGTAACAGTAAGGGGCAAGCTGGGGAGCTACAGTTCTAGTCCCTGAGGGGTTCTTAGGGATCATCTAGCTGCCATCTGAAAATGACCCACCTGGAAGAATTGTTTTTAGGCAGTTAGAAAGTGCAGAGTAATTCTGCTTTCTGTTGTGTCTCGTGTGTGCATGTTAAAGCCAACAATCTCCCACTGGAGGCAGGGACCACACATGGTACCCACTGTGCACCTTCCTGTTTCGTTGAGCAGATAGCGGTGCTCAGGGGTGGGTGCCTGATTGATGGCTGACTGGAACCTGCACCTGGAGGTTATTAGAGGAGCCCCATCAGAGCCCTGCTCTCTAGATTGGGAGTAGATGATCCGGAGGCAAGGAAGCCATAGCCTCCCCTAGAAGCACTGCACATAGCGGTGGGCTGCAGGTGGCAACTTTGCCTGGCACAAGATCAAAGGAGAGGAGTATCTGGTTCTATTGTTCCAGGGCCAGAATAGGCACCCCAAAACCAGTAAGTAGTTTTCACATCTCAGTATGGAGACCCGGGAGGCCGGAGGCAACTCATGCCCCAGACTCTCCAACACAGTCCACAGTCTGCATCCAGAAAGAAACATGTATTTCTCTTCCTCCTTTTTTTCCAGCTGAATAATAACTTGACACAAGTCCAAGCAGTTAAGAAGATATGAAAAGGAACCCAATTTAGAAAGGTTTTTAGTAGGCTGAAAACAGATGTGGCAAACCATTTCAGGATATTCTGGGAGAAGAAATGGGGAGGGTGGGATTCGAAATGGTTCCATCCGCCTCTTCTGGGCCCGCCCAGCCAGGTGCTTCAGCACGGGAGAAGCTCTGCCCACAAACATGTTCTGGAAGGAAGCAACCCCCAGGCTTCCTTTCTCCTAATTATGTCTCATCTGCGGCATCCTGGCAGCACGGAGTTAGCACTGTGCAGAGCGGTTTGGCTAAGACTGGCTTCCTACCCCTGGCTCACTTGCTTCTCTCGGAGAGCAGCCGCACCTGTCGCCCGCAGCCCTGGCTGAAGCCGCAAGCCCCCGGGAACCAGGAACTCGTGGGGCTTCCTGCCGCCGACACATGGGGGCGCCCGGCAGCATCCGGCCCGTGGATCTCTGGGTGGCAGGTGGGAGCTGAGCTGGCTGGGAAGGTGAGGCGGGCCGTGGGGCACGTTTCCCTTGGAACCGAACTTGCCCGGGGAAACTGGAAACAAGGAGAAACAGCCTTTCATGAATTTCAGGGATATTTGGTTTCTGTGACTCCAAAGCGTTCAAGCCCCCCTCATCCATGCTTACTGAAAATTGTGGGGGCATGTGGGGAGTGGTGCAGAGAGGATATGAGTCTAAAGTGGGTGAATCACTGTGTCCTACACTGATTATATCTAAATAGGGTACTTTTAGGTAAGCCACACCTAGTTAACATAGTAAAGGTGTATGTTTTATTCTCTTGTCATCTCCAGAGAAATAAATGGGTTTTTGAATTGTGTATTTATTCCATCAAGAATTATTTAGGGCCTCCCCGGTGGCGCAGCGGTTGAGCGCTGGGTTGCAAAACTGCCCACAGCCTCTGCGGCGCCGGTTCGATCCCCGGCTGCTCCCCGGCCACCGGAGGAGGGTCCCACATGGCGCGCAGACCTCTCCTGCCGCCCGCTGCTCCCCTCAGCAGTGTGCTTTGGTCCTTCTGCCTGCTCTGCTCCCCGCTCTGGCTCTGGTGAATTCTCTCACCCTCCCGCGCTTCTGACTGTACCCAGTGCATGTATAAACAAAAACAAACAAATAAAAAAAAAAAAGTCTCTATAAAAAAAAACTTAAAAAAAAAAAGAATTATTTAAAGTTGCACCTATACACTTTACTTGTAGTTTCAAATCTATCCAATACCATCTGCTTGTGTAAGTGAGGTTCACAAAAAGGTAAAAGCAAGTCCCCCAATATAGAGGAGATTGCAGTATGTTCCAGATAGGCATCCTTATTAATTAGCATTGTGGATGTAACTATTCTGGAACTGAAATTAGGGTTTCTATCAAATTAGACATCTCCTGAAATATGGGTAATCAGATTCACTTTACATCCAGGAAAGGAACTGGAGAGAATTTGGTTCTCTTTTATTTTGGAATATTTGGAGATTAGCACAGATATCCATGATGTAAATTCTTGTATTATGGCTAAGCTATAAAAGTTATAAATATTTATGCTTTATAACATTACAGATAATGTTCCTATGGGGAAAAAAAATCCCAAAGGAGATTGAAAATTGAATGCATGCAGGGACCATTTTTGTCTTGCACTCCACTCCCCTGAATCTCCAATCCTGATTTGTCTTGCTTCCTCTTGCCAAGCAAAGGTAGTAAGACTTACCTTGAACCACACTACATCTGCTGCCAGAAAGCATCATACGGAAGAAGCTAAACTCTTGACCAACCACATGCAACTCTGGAAACACTGGTGTGTCGAGGTGCTTGGCATCCTCAAACTTCATCTCAGCTCATCTTTCCTTTGTAAACTTTCCAATCCTAGAATTTTCCTTCCTATTCTGATCCTACATAGGATCCCACAGTGATCTACACTTGACCCCATGGGACCCTATGATCCTGTGGTCCTACACTGATCCCATGAAATTCAAGTCAACATGTACCTATTGCATATTCAGTATGTGCAAAACACACTGCCAGGGGTTGCAGAGCTATAGAAATCATCTGGCAGGTAATAAGCATGTATAAGCCTTGTGAGAAGAATTTCATACTAGTGGAACAAGTAGATGTTTATCAGAGGATCAAAAAGAGTGAACACTCATATCTACGTAGAAAAGAATTTGAAGACAAGTGGCATTTGAACAACACTGGGGTAGAGGTACCAACCCTACCTCACAGTGGAAAATGGAACTATCATTTATAATCAGCCCTACATATCCATGGATCAATGAATCGGGAACCCATGGATAGAAAAAAGTCCACATAAGTGAACCTGCAGAGTTTAAGCCCATGTCACTCAAAGATCAACTGTACTTTGAGGAGCAGGTGAAATTTTCAGCTGGGAAGGTGTGGGAAGGAGGAGAACATTCTAAACAGAAGGAAAGGCATGAGTAGGCGTTGGGCCCATGAGGCCTGTTTGGAAATGGAGCAAACCACTTGTCTTTGAACACAAAATATACTTGCATAGAAAGGAGAGCTGCAAAAGATAGGGTTGAAAATGCTGGTTGTGAGCAAATGATGAAAGGTCCTTCTATGCCAGGGCAGATTTAATTTCTATTTAACTTTACAGGTAGTAGTTGGAAATAGGAGCTTCTTGAGCAAAGCAAGTAAATGCCATAGGGACGACCGCTGGGGAGGGATTTTCTGGGATTGCTATGTATAGCATGTCTATGCAGGAAGCTACCAGAGTCTGAACTAAGACTGGCAAAGGAAATAAAAATTTAGAAAACAATTTGAGAGATATTTTTAACACCTCTTAGACTTGGCAGTTGGTTGAGCTGTGAGGAAGGATCACCAGGTTTTGTGCCAGAATGATGAGAAATGGTAACATTGTTAACATAGACAGGAGCACAGCAGTGGAGGTGGGAAAAAGAATTCTCTTTTAAACTTATTGTAGTTGAGGTGCTGGTGGACCCTCCAAAGGAAATGCCTACCAAGGAAGTTAGAGCATGAATTCAGCACTTGGAGAATGGGGCCAGAGTCACACAAATTTTTCCCTGGAGAAGCAGCAAAAGCAATGAATGAAGCTAACAGAATTCACAAATGACAGAAGAGGGGAAGGACAGAGCCCCAGAGACAACTACCTTCCCCTGACGGCCTCCCCTGCTCTTCCGTCCCCTGCTCTTCCAAGTTTTGTTTATGTGTTCCTCCTCAGGAAGAGCTACAGGACAAAAAGTTAATTTGCTCGGAGGGCCAAGGCTTACAGATTCCTTCCACCTGAAAAACTATTAGGACAGAGACTTTAGATAATAGGGAAAGACTGTTTATATTTTACTAAGTTTTGTATATTGAATTTACTTAAAACAAATCTGTAGTGCTAACATGGAAAAACCACAGAGCTCCTTCCTTCTTCGGAAAAATTCTGTGATCTTTAGTGTCGGCCCTTATTTCCTGCTCACTCCTCAAAAACGTTCAATTTCTAGAACCAGAAGGAATTTAAAATTCAGAAGAGCTAAACTATTGCAAACTACCTTTAATAGCTTCTTTTTCCAGGCTATTCCCTGAGTAAAGATAAACAGGAAATGAATGGTGACAGTAACTGGAATATTTGTAGTATAAATACAATTTGTTAACTTTAGACCATTTCCTAGAGTTTACTCCTCCCATAACTCACATTTTGTTTTATTCGGGGGGAAACAAAAAGCATAGGTGAGCTGAAAAATAAATAAAATAAAAATAAACCTTGCTCTTGAGGGTACAGCTTAACTTTTGTTTTTGTGTACAAATTTTACCCCATAAATCATCCTGTGCTTCATCATTTAGGGGACTCCAAAAACAAAAACCCTAAACCCTTTATTTCCTTTGTGTTTTCTAAAGGTGAAATGCTGCAAATACTGGCCAGATGACACAGAGATATATAAAGACATTAAAGTTACCCTAATAGAAACAGAACTATTGGCAGAATATGTTATAAGAACATTTGCTGTTGAAAAGGTAAGTTTTCATTACTAACTTTACAACTATAGTCAGACATTAGTTGGTACAGTCTCATTAACGTATCTGGGATCATTTATGTGGTCACACCTGAACGCAGGTAGGCTTTATCTGCTGATTTCTCTAGATTGCATCTTGCCCTCTGACTCTGTAATAGCTCAGTTTCATCTTTGAAGCAAATCATTCCCATCTGATAAGAGTCTACTTTTTACAGCTAAATAAAAGATAATGCCTATCTGTCTATTTCCTTTTTCTTTTTTGTGTGGTTGATGTTGTTCAGTCCATCTCTCTTTGCTCACGATTTGATAAATGTCCTTCATGTTGTGTCCATAAGGGTTTCCCAGTGGTGAGTCAGTATCAGTGTGAGACTTAGGTCCTGACTCCCCCTTGGAATCCCTGTTTCTCCTTGAGACTTTTTAGGCCTGTGCCTTAATCAATATTCACTGGTGGATTTTCCAGGTAGCAGGGACCTGCTTGGGACATAAGTGACTGATCTACATTAGACATGGATCCCCTTGCATGAACCAGTGCTTCCATCCATTCTCGCTCCCATCCTAGTCTCAGCCTTGTGTAGTTGCTGGTGTTGGCTCCATGAATGCTGTGTTTGGCTCTATTCTGCCTCATTCCATATGCATGGATGGGGCTTCTTCTCCGGGAAGCACTGTAGGGCATAACAGGGAATTTCCTTATTCCCCCTCTTTCTGCTCACATAGGGAGGGGCCGGAAGTGAAGCAAACTGCAGTCCATCCAGAGAAGTATCACAGGTAGGCTGTGGGGAAAAGTGGAGGTGATGTGACTGAGAAAAGCTCTGCCTTCTTAAGGTCATCTTGCCTTTGAGGAATGGGACACAGGATTTTGTCCCTGAAGTCCACACATTTTTCTAATGAGAACTGATTCTCCATGACTATGCCCTGCACTGCACTTACTAATTTTGTCTTAAATGTGTTCAATGAAAACTTGCATTAATTTAACAATAGTGGGTCCCCTTGGAGGACCTGGATTGCAAGTGAACTGCCAGGCAGTTGGTTGCCGGCCTTCAGCTCTACTCTCTGATCTCATGGCATCTATTGCACTTTTGGAATTAGCAAGACCACCTTCAGAAATGAATGTAGTTACAATCTGCTTACTGGCTAATTTATCCTGATATTTGAACTACCTGTCCTGGTTTTCAAATCCATATTTGTCATAGAATCACAAGGCTGAAAAGACTTTAGTTTATTTTAATCTGTTTCTCACACTACTTAGCATTTTTTCCTTAGCCTGTCTTTTTTAATAAGCAGGCGGGAGGCTTGGAGACTTCAAAGAATGTAGAGTTCTGGTTGACTCAATTCTTCAAGTTCTGAACCTTATACTTTGATGTCTGGGCTTTTTTTTTTTTTTTTTTTTTTTTTTCCCTTTCTTTCTTAGGCAGAGTTGGAAAAAAAACATACATGGAAGGTTTTTGTATGGCTCTTGGCAAGAGCGCTCATGAATAACTGCATTAAAACAGATAGTGATAAAAGATCTTCAATATTTTTTCATTTAAAAAAATCATCCAAAAGCCATCACTTAAACATGGAGTTCTTTCAACAATAGCCAGCTCTCTAATAAGCTGAAAATGCATCTTTGTTGCTAAAGGAAGGGTTTGTTTGTTTCTTTGCTCTTTTTTTAACCTCTTATTGTACTCTCCTACATTCCCAGCTGCACAGAAATGTTTCTGAAATACCCAGTTATTTTAGTCATCAGACAACCAGAAAAGAGGTGGTGGAAAGAAGAGAAGGATGAAGAGCTTATTAAGGCATTTGGGGAAATCAAAATGACACATTAGTGATTTTCTAACAGGGCAATTGGAATCTTTAAGGAAAACAAATCATTAGTACTATGAGTAGTGAAGCACTTCTTGTAGGTTTTAAACTTTCTCATTAGAATGGAAAGAGAAAAACAGTCAAGCATGTACTTTGAGAGTCCTACAATTCTGTTCTATTCTGAGAGTGTGTCCCATCAAGGGACCAAAAGGTAAAAAATGAGATTTGGACTATATTCTACAAAACAGACATGCTGCAGTTTGAAACTGATGAATTCCTATTTTGCATAAGATTGTCATCTTTCCTTTACCATCTGATGACTAAAAACTAAGCAGATTTAAAATAACATATAGTGCTCATTGTGTCAGGAGGAAACAACTAGAAAATCTCCTGGATCCAGACACTGTGAATCCCTCCTGTCAGTTCTTGTAAGAAGGAAGCTAACAATGGCCACCAAATTCTCTCTGCCCCAGAAATGCCTGGAACTCAAAGAAAGCTATGGGATATAGTCCTCTATCTCAAAGTTAGAACATGTACTAATGATTCATTCATTCCCCAAATATTTATTAAGCATGCTCTTTGGGCTAGGTACTGTTGTATGTCTTGATGTCCCATGTTCCCATTACATTACATGGGAAAATAAAGTGAATATCATGTTTTTTTTACAGATTAATACTTGTTATAATTAAAAATGAAAAGAAAAATGACTGATATGAAATTGGCAGTGTTCAGGCTGTGATGACTTGATCACATCTTTGACTTTTCCCCAGAATATCTTACAAGAAATGACTGTTGTGTCAATGAACAAGAATGAGAATTATCTCAAAGGCAATTTTCTTTGCTAATCTTGTCAATAGTGAACATATTAGATACTAGAGGTTTATTTTGGGAAAGGTTTTCTACATCCCAGAAAGTGACATTTACTTTGCTCAGAAAATGAGCCCAGGAGAGATCAGTTGGGGGCTTATCTCATAAGTTTGGGACTGTGGGGTGCTGGGGCAGAAATCTAGCACAGTTAGAAAGGAAAGCTCTCACAAAATTAAAAAAAACAAACAAACAAACAAACAAAAAACAACCATAGGTGGGAGAAGCAAGAGAAACTTTGTCCTCTTAGGAATAAATACGGATTCATTCCAGCTTTCCCACTAAATTACCATCAAATTGGGATTATCAGGGCCACATTTGCCATGCAGAAATCCAGGGAACTCTCTGAGGTTGTGGAAGGTGACACTGGCTCAACCATCTGTCTTCTGATTGATGGAGACTTTGGGACTGGCCAGCTGTTACCATGGTTTCAGTGATAAGTAATCTAAGCCCCTTACCCGGTGATGCTCCTCTGGGCTCACAGAGCATATTTAGTAGATGACAGTGTTGATTTTCCCTTGTGAATTCCTGACCACTTACTTTCTTAATAATTCAATTCCATTAAATAAAAGGATTTTCAAAGAGAAATAAAGCTTCAGTATTTGTGGGCTATTAAACCTAAGACATGTATTTACATACTGATAATAAACGGTTCTTATCTTAAAATCTATCATTTTTTGTCTGCTAGTCTTTCAAAGCACTTAGCAATTCTGAATTTCTTCTTTGCTCACTGTGTGTGAACAATGACTGATGATGAATGCGGCAAGGTTAGTGGATGTTCAATGTTAAGCTGTAATAAAATTAAACCCCGGGCCTAGGGCAGAGATGGTTTTTAGGAAATGGTCATCAGATGAGAAAGGGATGAAGCTAATTTTTGTGCCAAATTTACATCTAGTCTTAATTCTGAAAATAACTTTTGTTTTCAAAACAGACTTTTACTTTAAATATAGTTTTAATACACAAACTCATAGTTTAAAAAAAAATTCTTAAAAACAGAACAAATTTCTAACAACAAAACAAAACCTTAAAATCTCTTTATTTCTGCTTCCCCTTCAAGTCAGTGGAAGGCAACCTCCCTCTTCAATTGACTGACCTAACATAGCATTCCATAAAAAATGATTTCCACGTTTATAGTTCAGTTGCTTGCGTGCCTGTTTTCCACGTGCCACTGAGACAGCCCCTTGAGGACAGGACACTGACTTCAGGTCTCTGTGGCCTGGCACCGAGGGTCAGGCCCTGCAGGATTGCAGCGCCTCAGATTGCTGATGACTAGGTGGAATGTTTCCCTAAATTTTTAGGGGGAAAGAAAGCCTTACAAACTGGACTTGCAAATAAAAATTAAGTTCTGGGACCCGTGTACTAGAAAATAACCCTCATCCACCTTCCACAGAACTCTCTGAGTGTTTGCGCACTCACTGCTGGAGCACCCGCGTCAGAGCTACACGCAAAAGAGCCAGAACAAGGGCCTGCATGCCCACAGCTGGTCTTGAGAACAGTGATGACCTTGAATTCTTCAAGTCACTGTTCTCTACTTCTTTCTCTGTGGACTCGCACCTCATACCATAGGGTCTAAGTGACATACAGACTGGTAACAGTCTACTTTTTATAAAGGAATTAAAGCGATCCAGCCATTTGCTAGACTTGCACCCACCAACAAGCATTTTCCCCAAACATCACCTCCCCTTTCATCCCTACAAACATCTCCTACCTGTGATAAGGCTTTCAAACTGTGTGTTAAATCTAAGAGTGACCTTCTTCCCACGAGTTCATAGTTGCCTCATCTAGCCCTAGGCTTACTAACTGCTGATGGGTACTTGGCGCTCTCTCAGTGGCTCATCATTTTTGTTCCTTTGTTCTCTTCCTGTGTCCTGCTGAACAACAAATGACAGAGAGGTGTTCATGAAATCCGAGAGATCAGACAGTTTCACTTCACTGGCTGGCCGGATCACGGGGTCCCCTACCATGCCACCGGGCTGCTGGGATTCGTACGGCAGGTCAAATCCAAAAGTCCACCTAACGCAGGCCCGTTGGTGGTGCACTGCAGGTAAGCAGAGTGCTCAGCAGCTCTGGAAGGAAGCACGATGGACAGGAGCTATCTCTTTTGGGGTGATAAAAATGTTTTTGGAATTTGATAGAGGTGATAGTTGCACAACATCGCAAAGGTAGTTTATTCAATGCCATAGAATTGTGCATCTTAAGAGGTTTTTATTTTTTTTTTTTTACTGATGTGTGATTTCATCATAATAAAAACATTGAAATGGAAGAAGCAGTGCACCAGGTCCTATTCCTGTGCTGATAGACCTCTCTTTCCAGTGCTGGTGCAGGGAGGACCGGCTGCTTCATCGTCATCGACATCATGTTGGACATGGCAGAAAGGGAAGGGGTGGTGGACATCTACAATTGCGTCAGAGAGCTGCGGTCTAGGAGAGTGAACATGGTGCAGACGGAGGTACTGGTCCCTATCAGCCCTCAGCTCACCCCCAGGGCCTCTCCAATACCCCCTCTTCCCAATGCCAAGAGGAAGCACCCTAGAAGAAAACTCACTAGGAAAAAAAAATGATATACCTGCCAGTCCCTTTCCTCCTACCTCCCTCCCTTTCTTCTTTCCTTCCAATGTTTTTCCTCTTAGAAACAAACAAAAAGCCAGGAGTCTCCCAGGTAACAGAATCTGCAGCCAGGAGCCACAACCTGCCCATATTTCTGAGTCGAGGGACCCAGTAGAGTCTCTACACTAAGCATTCAGAGTTTCAATGCCATTTCTTTTTACTATGTTTTTAAACTAACTGGCAACCAGAGCAAGACCACTCCTGAGAAGAGCCAAGCATTTGCCAAGTGGGTCAGAGATAACGTTCTACATTTTGTTCTCTTCCTACTGTTCTTAAAAATTCTGCCCACTGACCTGGCATCATGGGGATTTGCCTGTTTTATGGAAGTACTCTACCAACTTGTACTTCTATAAAATAGGATTCAAAGTGTGTCAGGAATTTAAATTTTTGAGAAAAAGTAATACATCCTGCACCTAGGAAATGCATATTTTCACTAAAAATATTAAGTAAGTATTATACTCACCACCTAGAAAATGATTCATGAAGTAGAGTGAAGAAGAAACAAGAACCCCTTGCATTTTTATTGAGCATTAAAGTTTACATAAGCCATTAGGAAACCTAATTTCATTTTTTTAGCCAACATAAAGAACAATAGGAGAAACTATAATGCTACTTTCATCGTCTTTTTTCTTTAGAATAGGGATTTGTTTTAAAGATAATAGTGATCTAATGTCTTTTTAATGTGCTTTACAATTGATCAAATGTTGCCACATCCACTTGCTCACTTGGATATCTTTTTGGAGGTGCTGCTCCATAGGAATGAGCTGTTTGGGAGAACAAGAGTTCTAGTTATTTATAGAAATTAGAGTAAAAAGTAATGAGACTTCTTTGTGTCTCATGTAATTAAAGACCAGTAATAAATATGATAAAACTTTGCTAATTAATTGTAGGGAAAGTCTGTGCCAACTCAGAATTAGAGGACCCTTTTTTTAAACTGTAGACTTGTAATACATATATACAGCGATCTCTGGACACATTTCATAATGATCACATTAATTAATGTTTCAAAACAAGTACTAAGTGCTCAGAATTGTTTATTTTCATAATTATGTCAAGTTTCCCTGAACCTTCTTTGCACTTTTAATTTGGTTAGCAAGTTCTCTTTTCATTATAGATAGATAAGAGCCTGTTCCTTTCCTCATCTGAAACAGTGAGCTCCAAATTCATAGATCAGATTTACAGAAGTATTGTAGCCATGGCTATGCTCTTGTTACAGTGCTTGTCTTTTATCAATGTTTGATTGGCTTTAGTTAATCCATATAATACTTGTGTGTTGAGCTCCTATTTGTCTTTTTTTCCCCTGAGATTCTTCACATTTGGCCAATCAGCAGTGTTCAGTCACCCCTTGTAGGGAACAGATGATGGATGCTGGAGTACCCCCACCCCCAGCAGTCGGGGAGCGCACTATCTGTGTAGACCATGTTATGTTATCTTGACTACATGGTGCTTATCTTCCCTTCTTCTCTAGCTTCTCAGGTTACCTTGGTTTCTCTGTCACTAACTAGTCCCATCTCTTTTATCAGGAGCAATATGTGTTTATCCATGATGCCATCCTGGAAGCCTGTCTCTGTGGAGACACCTCTGTCCCTGCTTCCCAAGTGAGGTCTCTGTATTATGACATGAACAAACTGGATCCACAGACAAATTCAAGCCAGATTAAAGAGGAATTCCGGGTAAGTCAGGTCACGCTGAAGGGAGAGGCAACCCTTAAGGATGGTTACTTTGCTCTCTAAGAAATACCTCCAAGTCAGCTCTTGAACCCTAGAGCCAACATAAATTTCTCAGCCTCAGCATGGTTGACATTTGGGCTGAAAAATCCTTTGCTGGGGATACAGTCTTATAGGATTTTAGCACCATCCCTGGCCTCTACCCACTGGATGCCAGGAGACCTCTACCACACCAGCTGTGACAACCAAAAATGTACAGAGACATTGCCAGTGTCCCTTGGGGGCAAGATGAGCTGGTTAAGAACCACGGGTCTAGCAAAGCCATTTCTTGCCCTTGGCAGCAGATACTAGGTGATCCCTTAGTTTCATATGGGTGGGGCCAAACCAAAGGGGTGCGTTCAGAGCCCCAGTCTGGCAAGTTCATTGCATTTCAATTATCCTATTCCGTGTAAATGTACCTGACTCCAGGCTCTTCCATCCAGGTGTTCAGTCACTAAGCCCTGGTTGGACTTATTGGCACTTAACCCTGTGGATCCACAATGGTCCTTGTGTCTGATGGCCATTGTCTGTGGATAAAATCCCCAAAAGAAAAATGCAGTAGGGGTGGGAGAAGGGAACCATCTTGCTGTCAGCTGTAAGGAACATAAGTGCTCCAAAGGCTGAGCGTGAGACAGTGCTCATCAGCACCCTCTTCCCCATGGTTCTGTCTTCCCTCACGTAGACCCTGAACATGGTGACGCCGACTCTGCGCGTGGAAGACTGCAGCATCGCGCTCCTGCCCCGGAACCACGAGAAAAACCGGTGCATGGACATCCTGCCCCCGGACCGCTGCCTGCCCTTCCTCATCACCATCGACGGGGAGAGCAGCAACTACATTAACGCCGCCCTCATGGACGTAAGCTCATGCCCTCTCCCTTGAAGGCAACAGGAAGCCTTTCCCCAGGGGGAGTACAGGGGAAGGAAGCAAAGCCAGCTTGGTTTTCTCCTTTGACTCATCTGCCTCGGTTGGATAATTTTTAAAGATGCAAACTATTTTTTCAATAAAGTGTGCTTCAGTTTCCAGAGATGTTTTTCTGACAGAGCCAACATCCTTGGTCTCTTGGAGACTACGGATCTGGAAGTATTGATAAATGAAATATGTCCCCGTTCCTCTCTGAACACTTAGATTTTTAACCTGCTGGCCAGAGAGCAAGAGACAGCTATTAAGTCACTAAGGCAGTGAAGTGGGATTATATGGTTTGCAGCATTATTTTAGTTCCCTTTCCTCCTAATTTAGGCAGTAATTAACATAGGGGGGAAAATTGCCTGTCAGTACAGATAGTACACAACTCATTACCTCCTGTCAGTCTATTTACTTCTAGCTGAATGAGCATTTGCTATTCAATTGATGGGAAAAGTGAATGGGTATTTTCAGCACTAATATGGAAACGTTAATTCTATTGTGGTGATATCAGTGAAAAAGGTTCTTAAATGTGTCTGAGCTCTCCAGAGCTGTAAGATGCACATGTGTCCTTTTATGACAGGAATAAGCAATGCCTTTACACGTACACATGACAAGTGAACAGATTTTAGGTGCAGCAGAACTATTTTACTTGTACATATTTTTAAAGCAAAGTTCCATTTTCTTCATTAAAATAATTATTTATATGATCAATATTGTGTTTCTACCAGAAATAGAAGAAAAATAGTAAGAGACACTGAGTTTTCCTGGTATAAATGAGGAATATCTTTTCATTGCAATTCTGCAGTTAAGTTTGTATTTAGCCTACTCTGGCTTTGACAACAGTGATGGAATTCAACAATTGTTAAAAATGTTTGGCATTATATGTCACAAGTTTCCATGTGTACAAAATAATTTAGCTTCCTCACTTTGCATTTTCCTGGGTATATTTGGATCTTTCTTGTTTGTGTTTGCAGAGCTATAAACAGCCTTCAGCTTTTATTGTCACCCAGCATCCTTTGCCAAACACTGTCAAAGACTTCTGGAGACTGGTCCTAGACTACCACTGCACGTCTGTGGTCATGCTGAACGATGTGGATCCTGCCCAGGTGAGACTTGCTGGAGTAGCTCAGGGGCAGCTCTTGCCCAGGGTCAGATCTACATTTGCTTTGCTTGCACATTGCAAACTACAGGCCCCAGTGCCAAGTCACATGCCAGGCAAGGGCTGAGACCTGGAGATGCTGAAACACAAATCTGAAAAATCAAGTGGAATTAGTGATCAGGGCAAAGGGTAGCCTGAAACCGAAAAGACAAGATCAAATCACAGACAGTGGAAGTGACAGCGCAAGACAGGGGCAGAAACTGGTCTGTTCCCAAAGGACTGAAATACTAAGGAGAGGTTGATACCAGACAATGGACAGAGGGAGCTGAACAGAAATGAGGATGTTGCAGAATGAAACTAGTGCAAGCAAGCCAGAGAGCCATAATAAAAGGACATCCACGTCTAATGTGACCCCGGCCCCTTCCTGAAGCAACTCTGTGCTTCCTGCACACTCACCTGTCACCTGCAAACAGAGCTTTCAGTGGTAGGGTGACACAGGGAAAACCAACCATCAATTTAAACAGACAGCAATTAATTTTGTTAACTCTTTAGTAAAGATATTAAAAAGAAATAAAACTGGGACATAAAGATAATAGAAGCTCAGAATGATGAATGGGGCTTTTACATAGCTCCTCTCCTTAACAGAGAGAGAAAGAATTAGACAGTGATGACTCGATACTAGTAATGAGGTTACAGACATTTTCTTAAAGGGACTTGTCAGGGAAGCAGTCACAAAGTGGCCTTTAGGAGCAGAATGTACTGCTTTGGGGTTCTACTAGACAGAAGGCATTATGGGAAGTTTGACCTTAACATATTTTAAAAGTAAACTTGTTCTGGAACTGAATTACTTTCCTATCTAGTAGAGAGAATTTCTTTAAAAAGAAAAGAGGTCTGAAGTATTTCAGTAACCAAACTGGACAAGAATTTTTCTCCCAAAATCCATTTTATCATTCTGCCATAAATCCCATGGACATTCACTTCAGTTCTATAATGTTGTTAATTACTTTTGAAGCACTACATTATATTATTAAGGTTCTACCTGAAAGCTAATTAATGAAATAGTAATGATAATCCTTGTTTTCATCTAATCCATTTTTTTGCTTAAGAGCTTAAATATTTTAGAAGTCCTCCCCATTGATCTTCTCTGAAGTATAGATTGCAGCCATTTATAAAGACAAGCAGACTTCAGAGTTCAGAGAGCTTCAACGACAAGCTCGAAATAGGACCACAGATCCTGATTTTCTTACCTATAGAAATGCTGGTTAAATTTCACTAATTCAGAACATCTTAGTCATAGACAGTATAGGATAAAGGGCATGTTCCATATTCAGAATCATTTTTTGTTTCCAAATGTGTATCCTGAAATGCAGTGATAAATGTCTTTGTTCTGATTAGTGAACCAGAGGTCAGTGATTTTGGTATGTTCTTTTTGAGCAATGATGTCTGAATGCTAAAGCTGCATTCTAAACCCAAACAGTCTGGTTTCAGACTAAGCTTGGCTGATCAGTAGTAGGAGAGACAGAGATTCCAATTCCATTCGCAAACCGAGCTGATTTTCAGAGTGAACGAAAGAAGGCTTCTGGGATTCAGTCTTTTGGAGAGCACTAAACCAAGTATTTGAACTTAAAGGCTTTGCAGTTGTACTAGAATAGCTCTCAACTATTTTAAGTATTTATAGGTCCAGTTCATGGACGTGTTATGCACCATTTAAGCCATTTTCTACATGGCTTACTTGGGCAGACTGCAGAATGCAGTGTGCCGAGAGCCAAGTGCTGCCCAGGCCATTCATATTTCTCTGATGTAAGTGACAAGTTTTAGATCAGGGCTTGAACCTACAGAGCAAGCAGAAAGCCAAGTTAGCTTGGTTAGGAGAAAAATGGGCAGAACAGTTCAAATGTCCATGTTAGGACTTTTATTATCATCTTGGCATCCCATTGTAATGCCTATTAATTTTAACAGTAGGTACACTTGGGTATCAAAATGAGAAAAAAAAAAAAAAAAACCCACCAGCATGCCAAATTTGACAAGGCAGTTTTATAACTTGTCACCAGGAAGTGCTGATAAGGGAAAAATTTTATGGAAGCATTACTTACAAATAAATTTAAATGTAATTTCTAAAATACTATAGATTTAACTAACATGAAAAGTACCCATAGTTGTCCCACTAGTCTTGATCATAAAGTGGAAAGCTTTAGCTTCTTTAATTGTGCAGTCTGCTCAAAATTCTAAAACTGCTTTCTAGATCTAAACTGGCCTCAACCAAATCCTGGCTGACCAGTAGTAGGAGAGATAGCAGAGACTGCCATTTCTTTTCATTGAAATTGATAACTATCTAGCAATCTTGTATATAAGTCAAATTTTGCAACCCTTGGCCAAAGAGATTTTGGATCCTTTGGAAAATAAACATCATAAAAAGAAAGGAAGTATGGGAGGGAGGAATTCAACCAGTGGGATACCCCATTTTAAAAATGAGGTGATGCTTTTCATTTGCTGTTGATTCCATAAAAACCAGTTATAAAATAATGAAGTATTTCCATCTTGCCTCATCACAACCTATTTGTCCCTCAGGTGAATTAGCAAGATAAAAGTTAAATGCTACTCCATTGTTCCAGTGTATACGCTTTGTTCCTCTGTCATAGATTAGTGACCCAGCTAATCCACACCTAGGAATCTACCCAAAGAACACAAAAACACCAATTCGAAGGAAAACCTGCAATGCAATGCTATGATTATTGCAGATCTATTTACAATAGCCAAGATATGAAACAACCCAAATGTCCCAGAACAGATGAATGGCTCAAGAAGGTGTGGTATGTACACTCAATGGAATACTACTCTGCAATCAAAAAGATAAACTCATGCCATTTGTAGCAACATGATGGAGCTGGAAGGAATTATGTTAAGCAAAAATGTCAGAAGTTTAAAGATAAATACTGATGGTTTCACTTGTATGTGGAATATAAAGAAACCAAACAAAGGGTCAGATAACAATGATGTAAAAAAAAAATAGTTCATAGTAATAAAAAAATTAGGGGTGAGAGGTGGGAAGAAACTGGTACAAAAATTGTGACTGAAATATTTGAGTAACTTATGAGCCAAAATTCAACTTCCCAGCATTGTTATCCTATACAGAAAACAAAAACCAAAATAAAAAAGCATAATGAAAAAATGTGATATATATCATTATAAGCGCAAATTAAAAAATAAATAAATAAATAAATGCTACTCCCCAAAAATGTCACTCTATATCAAGTCCCAAGAATTTCATTTCAGGCTTTAAATGTCTACCAAGGTGTCAGGGTTCTAGGAAAGGTTTTTGAGGAGACAAGTTCTTGGGGGATTCTGCTCACCTATCTCTAAGTTTGGTATTTCTGTGGGTTAGGGGCAAGCAAAAGTGCCCCTTTCATAGGTCATCATACCCAGGAACATCCCACCACAAGTTATGTGTCATGTTTATGTAAAAGTTCTTGTTACCCAGGATCACCAATCCCTGGCATTTGATACGCTAGGAAATTGTCTCTTTAATTAAAGCCACTTCTAGATAAAACTGCAAAACATTTACTCTTATTACACCACCCTGGTGGAATGGAGGGGAGGGAGGGTTTGAATCAGAGCATGACAATGCAACCCAACACTGTGATCAGTATCTTGTCACAAAATAGCCCTATTCCCAAAAGTGATTACAAGTTACAATGCAAGCCCAGAAGGGGGAGGTTGAGATTTGTACATTAACAGGTATGCCTGGCATCTTCACTGTATTAGCTCAGGACATCATCCCCAAGGGCTGATAAGAGTTCCTTCAACACGCAGAAAAACATCTTACACTGGAAGTATTGAATGGCATCTGCATGACCTCCTTATGGTGGGATTGCCCACAGCTTAAAGAAATACTTCCCAAGAAAATGAAAATGCCAACAGTACTAGAAGGACAGGTAAAGTTGCAGAATCAGCTAACAAGAAGGTCCTAAAGTGTAGTTGCTAGAAGGAAAAGAGAGAACAGAAAAAATGAAATGCATCAATAGACTGTTAAGAATTACTGAATGTCAGTAATGACCTTATCCAAACTATTAGGAGCAAATTTATTTTTATAATTAACCTTGTGTTCTATATTTTAATTCAGTTGTGTCCACAGTACTGGCCGGAGAACGGAGTACACAGACATGGCCCCATTCAAGTGGAATTTGTTTCAGCTGATTTAGAAGAAGACATCATCAGCAGGATATTCCGGATTTATAATGCAGCCAGAGTAAGATGGCTACCAACAGCTTATCTTTTGGTTTCATTATTTTCACATTCATTGCTTATTTAGAGAACCCACTTTGTGTCAAGCCTCTGTTCTAGGAATTTGGAATCCACCAGTGAACAAGACCAAGCTCCCTAAACTAATGGAACTTACATTCTAATGAGAAGATAAATGATAAATAATGGATGGAACAGATATAATAGACACAATATGATAGAAAACGATAAATGCTGCAGAAAAAAACTGAGGAGGCACAAAATGCCATGAATATGGAGAATATGAATAAGGAGAGAAATCGAGTCTGCCTTAAGTAGATGTGTCATGTGAGCAAAAACTTAACAGAAGAGAGGGAGCAGCCCCAAGGCTCTCTTGGAGACAGCCTTCACAGGCAAAAGTAATGATCAGTGCAAAGACTCTGAGGTGGGGCCTTGCTTGTTGTGTCCCACCTGATGTGGCTGGAGCACAGTGAGTGAAGGTGGGAGTAGCTTGTGGAGTAGTCCAGGTAGAGGCAAAGTGGCCATGGGGGAGGGGGCGCTGACTCGAGCAGGGGGCAGAGGCCATGTAAGGCTTTGCCAAATACTACTATAATTTGGGCTTTTGTTCTGGAAAAGAAAAATAAGAAGCCTTTATAGGATTTTAAGTAGAAGAATTCCATGATATAGGTTACCTTTTAAAAGGAGCATTCAGCCTTCTGTTTTGAAAACAGACTAAAAGAGAGGCCCTTCAGAAGGCCAGTTGTGAAGTGGCAACACAGGACAAGAGTGGTGGCAGATGGAGGAAGTAGGAGGTAGTGAGATTGTTTTATATTCTCATGGCAGAGCCAATAAGATTTGCTGATAGGTTGCATCCCAAGGAGTCTGGGGAGGGGGCGACGCTCCAGAGTTCAGTCCTGAGAACTAGAACTGACAGAATAGACATTAAGTTAGGAAGGGCTGTGATGGGACTGTTTGGCAGTAATGGACACGTGAAAAAAGGATCAGGAGTTCAATCTGAAACACACTAAGCCTGAGATGACTACTAGACCCCAAGTGGAAATAGGTTGGCTTTTCAGTCTGTGAGGGTGAAGTGCAGGAGAAAGATCTGAACTGGAAGGGTGAAATAGGTGACTTACTGGAATATTTAAAGTATGAGATGGAATGAAGTCATGAAGTGACAGATGGAGAAGTGAAAAGGGCCCAAGGACTGAGCTGGGGGCTTCATCAGCAAAAGATCTGAGGAAGGGAGGGTGCAGGCAAGGGGGAGGATGGATAAACGGGGAGGACCAAGTACAGAAGGTATGTCAACAAGAAGCAGCATCCCCTATGTCGAATGCCATGGAAGATTCAATCTCAGTGGCTTGTCCATGGTCAGATTTAAATTGCCCCTGCCCTTCTAGCACTTTCTTAAATCCTGCAATTCCAATTATGACTGAAGGTTAAGTATTAATATCTTAACAAGAGTCACAGCAATAAACAAAACCCTGTCACACTCAGCGGAACCAGAGTAATGTCTATCAACCTGAGTTCACAAACCTCTCCGGATTATAATTTATTTTTTAATTTACCTGTAATTAAAGTAAAGCCAATTTAGCACTTATTGTATGATGTGGGCAGTGTTTATGTTGTGCGTTAGTTTTCACTTGGCTTTTGTGAACTTATAAACATCCACTTTTCCGCTCCAGTTTTGTCTAACCTGTCGTTTAAAACACCTGGTTTTTTTATACCAGCTGGAGATTAAAAATCATAACTCTTCAGCCTGTAGAGATGTCCTTCATTATTTATAGGCAGGCCTCTCCCTTAATAATGTCCTGCTATGTTGAGAAGACCAAGTAGGTGGAATCAGCCCACTGGAACTCTATAAAGTAAATAACGCCTTGATTGTTCTCTGATTCTCTGTAGCCCCAAGATGGATATCGGATGGTGCAGCAATTCCAGTTCCTGGGCTGGCCGATGTACAGGGACACTCCTGTGTCCAAGCGCTCCTTCTTGAAGCTCATTCGCCAAGTGGACAAGTGGCAGGAGGAATACAATGGTGGTGAAGGCCGCACAGTTGTGCACTGCTTGTAAGTACTGAGCTCCGGTCTCAGAGCAACCAGTGACTCACGTTTCACTCTTCACAGAGAAGCAAACAGGTCTGGGTGATAGGACAGATTAGTCTGTCCATGGAGGGATTGGCTTGCTTTGATAGGTAAAACCTGGAAACAACCCAAATGCCCAAAAATAGATGACTGGATCAAGAACATATGGTACATGCACCCAATGGAATATTACTCAGCAATCAAAAAAGATAAACTCATGCCATTCACAGCAACGTGGATGGAACTAGAAGGAATTATGCTCAGTGAAATAAGCCAGAAGGAAAAAGAAAAATATCGGATGGTTTCACTTATAGCAGGAAAATAGGGGACCCAAATAAGACATCAGTGTAAAAAAGTAATAACAGTACAAAACACAACAAAGCAAAAACGGACAATTATAAATCAGAGACATCCTGCAGGGGAGGAGGAGGGAGAGGGATCAGAGGGAGGGAGGGAGGAGCTCAGGGGACTGAGGTGATGGTGCACAGGTGCATTGGTGAAGGAAACTCTATGGGGACTACACCTGAGGGGGTGGGAGAAGCAAATATTGTTTAAAAATGAACAATGATGTAAAATAAATAAATAAATAAAACTTTAAATAATATTTTACCCTTAATAAATAAAAATTAAAAAAAGAAAACAAGGAGTGCATATTTTGCATTCAGATGGGTGTCACTGCCTGTAGCAGGAGGAAGGACCAGAGCAGGATCCCTATGATTAGACAGACGAGTGAAGGAGGAGTCTTGGAGCCCTCAGTGGCTTTTGCAGGCTTTTTTTGCATTTACCAGGTACATGGCAGGCAGGGATGCCGGGGCACCAGGGAGCTGGCAGGCCTCCCAGCCCCTGGCAAATCTTCACTCTTCCTGGGCTCTCCGGCCCTCTCTCATGGCCTCTGCTTCTCTTTCATTCCTTTTGCTCTGCTCTCTTCTGCGACTTCATTCTGCTGTTCAACTGGCATCCCTGAGATGCCGTCCTTAAAAGCCCAGTCTTAGCCGAGGTAAATCCCATCTACCTATGCGCACACCCTACTCCAGGTGCCCGCCATCAGGCATTCATTCAGGACCGCAGGGATCCATCATCTATCCTGATGGCGGGTGGCAGAAAAGCCTGATACTTTACTTACCCTACACTGCCTTAAAAATAAGTGCTGACCCTGTGAGTAGGACCTCTCCAAAAATTAAAAAACAGCTGGGGGGATTCATTGAGTTTTGAGAGACGTATGTTAGGTTTTCAGGAATTTCTGAGCTGATTATTACATTCTTAGTAATTCAAAGCCATCCATCACATAAGAATTCACATCACAGACATCAGCAAATGCTTCAAATCAGGGCTCTCTCCTTAAGCTGGTTTACCATGACAGTAGTAGGTGATTCTATTGAAAAGTATGTCCAGCAGTTTCAAAAGAATTGTCTCTTTTGTGTGTGTATGGTTTTAAGAGATTTTTTTTCTTTTTTTTTTTTTTTGCTAGAGAATGTTTATATTGGGGACATTTGGTTAGAACCAGTGTCTCCAGAGTATGGGGTTCAGGCCAGCAATTTCAGGAGCTACCCAAAAGGGAGGAAATATGCTACAAAGCTAGTAGTCCCCAACCTTGGTTGTGCATTAAGAGTCATTTGGGTAACTTTGGGGTCAAAAAAAAATCATGTTCAGGTCACACCCAAAATCAAAAATAAAATCAAAAAAATCAAAATCTGTGGTGGGTGGTACCCAAGCATTAGTGCTTTTTTTAAACTTCTAGATTATTTCAATGTGCAGCCAAGGTTGAGAGCCACTAAATAGAGACTGCCACACTTTTCAAAGCACTTTCACCTGCGTTTTCTCATTGGCGATGATATGTAGCTAATCAGCCAGCTGGAATTGGCTTAATGGAACAGGCAATTAGAAAGTCGTGGCAGTTAGGGAAGACATTTAAAGCATTTGTGAAAACATAACATATAAGCTTATGTCTTTTGTCAATGGAGTGTCTGTCACTAGAAGCACACAGTGAAGTCTCTCCCAAATTGAAGGGAAAATAAAATTTTTCTCAGGGCAGACCGAGTCCAATTAAAATGGAAACTCAGTTAAGGTCCTGGCTACCCTCTACTTAATGCCCGTTCTCATGAAATACAACCCCCACCCAGGACCCTGGGAGGCCTCCCTGGCAGCCCAGAACTCTACCCTAACTCTCCCCAAAGTAAGTCCTGCAGGGTGTCATCCAGAGGGAAGCTGATATTTCCTTGGAAGGAGTCTAAGGAATCTGTTCACGCTTATCCTTCATCCTCTGAAACGCTCTTGTTAACCCTTCCCCCCTCACTACCCTCCTCTTCCATCTTATGGACCCAGTTTATTAAAAACATCTTTCCCAGGAAAATGCCAACAAGAATTGATTCAAAGTTCACTTCCCATTATTACGTCTCTAAATCCAGATGTAACCTCTGCTCAGAGAAAGATCACAGAGTCACCAGCGTAAGGTGATTCAGTTCTGACAAGGAAAACTGAAACCTTAGTGTTTGTTTTATATCTTTTAGGTTATTTTTGAGATATTAAAAATAGTATGCAGGTACCCATTGCTGCATCTGGAGATCTCCAGCATCTGGAGCTGAGAGCATAATGCATGTTACTTCTTTCAGTGACCAGTACCGTAACCCAAAGTTTTGAGTAACATAACAGTGGGGACGTTGAGGCACCAGGACAGGCCTAAGGGGAAGATAATTACTGCACTTTGTAGACAACTATCAAGCCCTCCAAGACCCAGTCATGGCCCCAGAACTAAATAGTTACAGCCCCACTCCACTTGATTATCTAAAACACTGTGCTGTCTTTTAACTGTAGTGACAGTAGTGGACATTGGTTGTTCTACCTCCTGCCCACTCAGCACTTCTTCCCCTTCTGCTGGTGGAAGAACCTGGATTTCTCTTTGGGACCCTTTCATCCCCACTCACGTCTCTTGCTTCCCCTTGGGACTGCCTCTTGACCTCTTGGCATCAGAGGGGCCCTGAGATTCATGCCTGGTAGGATGTTTATTGTTATTTCGATTTATAAGTCTAAACCTGTGACTTTTGTAGTTATTAGAACATTAGTTTAAACTGGTATCTATGAATATAGGCTCAAAAAATAAAATAAAATATGAAGGACTCTTCCCTGCTTTTCTATAATAAGGGCATCGTATTCGGCATGGCATAGCGCCACCTAATGGCTGTGTGGGGAACATTCCTGCCTGAGTCCTCTCCAGGTGCTTTGTTTTTTTTTTTTTTTTGTTTTTTTTTTTTAAAGATTTATTTATTTATTTATACAAGCACTGGGTACAGTCAGAAGCGCGGGAGGGTGAGAGAATTCACCGGAGTCAGAGCGGGGAGCAGAGCAGGCAGAAGGACCGAAGAACACTGCTGAGGGGAGCAGCGGGCGGCAGGAGAGGTCTGCGCGCCATGTGGGACCCTCCTCAGGTGGCCGGGGAGCAGCCGGGGATCGAACCGGCGCTGCAGAGGCTGCAGGCAGCTTCGCAACCCAGCGCTCAATCGCTGCGCCACCGGGGAGGCCCTCTCCAGGTGCTTTGATTGCACCCTGATCACATGGACTCAATTAAAGCAAATAGGACTTTTTTTTTTTTTCTTTATACATATCTTCCAGCTAACAAAAGAAGAAGAAATGGATGGAATTAAGATATCAACATTTGGCTAGCTTTGATGAAAATAATGGATGTAGACAAGTGTGGTCACTGATGGGTGAGGGAGCAGAGTGGGGAAGCAGTGTGGTGTCAGTGCAAGAATACAGGCTCATGAAGCAAAAGAGAATATGGAACAGAGCCACACCTCAGTTTCACTTATCTACACAGATCCACAGCAACAAACCTACTGAAAGGCACAGGAAAGACTGCCCTTGTGTGTGGTCTCTGCTCACACTACATAAAGAAATCATGTCCAAAATGTGAAAAGAAAAGCAGAGGAGCTTCTAGGAGAAAATCTCTGTGACCATGATGTAGCTAGAGACACGGAACACTAGTTATAAAGGAAAGCACTGGGCATGTAAGCTTATATCCACATAACCAATACACATAGGAAAGGTACTGGCATCATTACTTCTCTGGAATATTCACATTAAAACCAGGATAGGCTGCCACTGCCTACTCACCAGAGTGGTTAACATCTAAAAGACAGACAAATGATTGTACCAAGCCTCAGTGAAGCTCTGGAGCAACTGAAACTTCTATGTGCTGAGGATAAGAAGTAAATATGGTACAATCATCCCGGAACTTGTTCATAGCATCCACTAAATAGAAGCATCCTCTGATGGAACTCTATAACTCTTAGGTAAATGACCACAGAAATGACTCATGTATACACCACAAGCAGGTTTATGGTGGGTTTATTCATATCAAAAACTGGAAACAGCCCAAACATTTAGCAGCTGTTGATAAATATACAGTAGTATGTCCATTTAATAGAATTCTTCTCAAGAATATAAAAGAATAAGCTGCTGATATAACCACATGGAGAGTCCTCAGATTGATGATATTGAGTGAAATAAGCCAAACTCAAAAAGGGTATATGCTATATGATTCCAGCTTTACAGAATTTAAAACCAGACTGTGGATATGTATGATGCTTGAAGTAAAATGCAGATTATCTTTGGGGTATTGATGGTTTTGACAAGGAAGTATGAGGAGGGTCTAGGGTCTGATCATGGTCTATATCTTGCATAGGGAGGATATGCTTGTAAAAAAACTGGGATATATATATACTTACCATGTGTGGACTTAACTGTAGGTATGTTATACTTTATTTAAAAAAACTGATTTGGAACTTAACAATGGAGTGATCAAGCTTACCTCCAAACATAATTATCAATCTTCAAGTCACAAAGCAAGAAACAACCTGGTATCTTGTGCCTGCTCCTAATGCAAGTCCACTTGTAAGTTATTCTATCTAAAAAGAATAATTCTAATTCTTACCAAGCCCTGGAGCTAGTTACCAATTTCCAGGCAATAGAGGGTTAAAGAGCATGTTAAGTGATAACACAGAGATGAAATGAATGAGAACTACCCCAGGAAAAATGAGTCCAATTCTTCAACAAATAAATTGCCAAGAAAAAAGAGAACAAAGACTAGTGTAAAGATTAAAATAAATGTGTAAGCCATGTCAACCAATATAATGTGTGGGCTTTGCTTAGATATGGATATGAAAAAAGCAATTGTAAAAAATGGATGGGATAATCTGAGAAATTTGAATAGTGACTAGAAATTTGGGTATGTTAAAACACCAATGTTTAAGTGTGATAATGTTGTTCTGTTTAACAACTTTTCTTAAAAAGGTGCCTTAACTCCTTAGAGAAATGGTTGGTTCCAAAGCTGTTGCAGCAAAGACACAGAATGCTTGTAGAACATCTTGTGGTTCCGGAAAGCAGAGAAGTGCTCAAAACATCAGGGGCTTGTCAGAAAGCAGTGAATCATCCTGATGGAATTCCTGGCCAAAGCCAGCATAATTTCAACAGCAAAATAAATATTGATGCTATTGTGCTTTATTTCAGAGAATAAAATTAATATGTGTAAGTTCAAACTGATATAAATGAATAAAAGCTATTTTTTCTAAATTGGAGAGAAGAGACAGGTATCTCTTATAGAGAGGGAAGTAGTAAAACCAATTGGACAAACACCGCAGTGATCACTGTTAGACAGGACGGGATCCACCAATGGATAGGAAAATCAGTGGGTGGAATTTTGAGGAGAAGCAATTATATTTGCATAAACCCCAGGTTTTTCCCCAAGATATCCATTAACTACAGCATGAAAGATAAAAACTACAGGGAGAATGTTGGCCAGACACCCACTTTTCTTAACCAGTGATCAAAGTCATCACCAGCAATTACAGTTCAACACCATGAACCCCTCTGGGAACACAACAGCTCCTCTGTGGTTGTCTGGCCAAAATATATAACCTCATTTCCAATCATGAGAAAGCATCAGACAAATCCAAAATGAAAGGACATTGCACATTTTGTAATTTGTAATGACTTCTGAAACTTTGGGTGGGAGCCATGGCTACTTTCTACATCTACATTTGTTATTTTGTATTCCACAAAATTGCTAACCAGTACTCTTCAAAATTGCTGCGGTCAAGAAAGACCAAGGTCCCATTCAGATTGGAGGACACTAAGCAAAATAGATGCAAGGTGGGATCCTGGACTGGGTCTTGAAAAAGGACATTCATGAACAATTCGTGACATTTCACTATGGTCTGTGGTTTCATGACTAGCAGTGCACCAATATTAATTTTCTGGTTGTAATCACGTACTCTATTGTGTAAAATGTTCACATCAGGGGAAGGTAATATGGTAGGGAACTTCTTCCCATACTATTTTTGCAACACTTCTATCCACCTAAGATTAATTCAAAATAAAAAGTTTTACTTAAAAAGACTATGTATGTTCTAGAGCTGAATACTGAAATTCTTAATAATGAATTTTCTACACCAAGTACATCTTGGTCCATAATCCACAGTTGTCACCAGTTTTCCTGGCAGATTCCAGAAGGAGTGCTTGTCCATTGAACAGTTTCCAAGATGGGCCCTTTCTTTAAAAGGCGAGGAGGGCTGTGTCGGATAACAAAATCTAAGACTGAGTTGAAGCTGCAGAAGGAGGCTGGACCAGTGTCTTGAAGCCTCCAGTCAGTTGATCCTTGAACCCAGCACTGAGGTCCATTTACTCCATTTGCTTTAATTAGAAACGACCCTAGGTGGATTGTCCCAGCCTCTGTGACCTCCACAGGTTCACCTCAGATGTGTGAGTAGTGAACATGTAAGGGGAAATATAATCCAACCATCTGATTTCTCTTCTGACAGGAATGGGGGTGGCCGAAGCGGGACATTCTGTGCCATCAGCATCGTCTGTGAGATGCTCCGGCACCAAAGGACAGTGGACGTCTTCCACGCTGTGAAGACACTGAGGAACAACAAGCCCAACATGGTGGACCTCCTGGTAGGCGCCTCCCTCTACCCTGCTAAGTCGGCCATTTTCCTGGGTGTTGTAAGATCCCATCACTTCCCAGACTCACAATAACACTGATTCACAGAGGAAAAGACTCATTTTCAAAAGCATAATCTAATCATTTTGCTTATGAAGGTTTTTCTCCCTCTTCCTCTCTTACTTTGCCTTGTCACAAGAAAACTTTGTCTCATTTGAAATATGGAAATAGTTGAAACTCGCAAGTGAACATCCTTATTAATTTCCATTCCTGGCAGTGCCTTCCACGTGGCTAAGCACTTAGTCTTCCCAGAGAAGAAATAATCATAGCACATGAAATGCCAGATTTTCAAATTATATATTTTATAAATAGCTTAATCACCTAATATTTATCAAAGCTGTGAATTTTTAGTTTGACATCCAGAATATTGCATTTAATTATGGTGGCCATCTCTGAGAAAAGGATTAAAGGAGTTGAGAAACAAAGGACTTTGTGCAATTATTTTCTTAGAGCATTTCATGAAATCTCTTTTTTGTGTGGAGCTGTTGAAATGCCAACCACTGTGACTCAAGAATAGTAGAATAGCTTCAAGGAGGAAGCTTTTAGATGAGGTTTTTGTACTTCTCTGTTAGGGGAGGAAGGATCTGAAGGAAGCAGTGGGACTAATCCCAAGGTAGAGAAAATGGCCTGGGGCGGGATGAGGAATGAAGAAATGGCTGATGCCGACAAGTTTGGAAAGCCTTCTGTCCCTGTTTCACTCCCTACAACAGCGGGGTTAAAATTTAAGATATAATAAAGGGACTAAAGAGAGAGACGAAATGACAGCTAAGGTTGAGGGAGTAGCCATGGTCCCCAGTCATTCCCACAGTGCCTGGGTCGGGTGCTACCAGTGGCGGTGCTGACCTACTCCTCGTACATATCCGAGTCCTACTTAGCTCCATCCTGCTTTTCCCGAATATGTGTCTCATGTTTCTGTTTATATGAAGCATGGAGCTTGCTGAGGAATTTGGTAGAGGAGCACCTGTTTTGCAAGACACAGACTCTCAAAAACACCCCCAGTTATCACATTGACTTCTGATAAAAGGACTTTGTCCCCTAAATTGCAGCCCTCTCTACCCTTCCCCAGAGAAAGCTCCTAAATCCCCAAATTGTAGGCTCAGAGCTCTGTGCTACAAAAAAGTGACTTCAGAAGAATTAACTTGGCAGTTTAAGCCTCCGTGAGCAAGTCACTGAGCTCTCTTGAACCTGAGTTGCATGAACTGTGGTTAATGTGGATGCATTGAGGCAACCCCATATGACAAGTTTTACAAATTTCAGAGGAGGCTGTTTATAGTGCATTGTGCAACCAGGAGCCCTTCGAAGCCAGCAATGTAGGAGCTTCAGAAGAGGAAGAGGATGGGGAAGAAGCAGCAGAGGGATAGGCCACCATTTACATTTACTCCATGCTTAATCTGAGCCAGGCTGTGCAACAAGTGCCCTTCAGAGTCAGATTGCAGGTGGAAGGGCAGCCTTCACCAGAATCAGCCTCTCCGGAGGCTGAGAGGTCTCACTCCCTGGAATCATCATGAGTTTTACAGAGCTGGACCACCAGGGAATTCCCAATCTCCTGATGGGAGCATTTGAGAAAGGGGTAGTCAGACAGTCAGAGGTGGCCTGAGTTTGATAAGAAGGTTGGCAGAAGATGGAAGCAAATATCCCAATTATTAAAATATCCCAATTATGACTTCATTTGGTATTTAACCTCCCTGGTTCAGGGATAGCTTAATACTTGTCAAAGCTGGCAGAGGCTGGCGACACACATTTTGATGGGAAGAAACAACGGGACTTTTTTCTAGTTCATGCTGCAAACTAGGGGACAGGAATGACTCTTCATGAAATGAGGAACTAGATGGTTGGACCAGAGGGAGCTCTGATACCAGCCCACTAGTTAAATAATTATGTCATTTCTGTGTTAATTTCTGATGGTAAAAAACAGAACTGTTGGATGCCCAAACCTCTGAGAGTCAGTGTTAATGTTAGGAGAGGTCAGAGACTAAGAAATGCAGGAAAGTTTTGCAGTTTTCTGGGGAAAATGTCTCATAAATTTGTCACTGAGACGGTTGGCAAGACAATAGATAGTGTCTGATGACCAAAAGAAAAATGTCACTGTGCTCTTTTCAATGGGTTTGAAGCTTCCTGAGGTGATTAAGTGCTCTTGGGTGGGTGGGTTGATAGTTGGTTTTGCCCATAAGTAAAATTTATTAGTTTGCTACTCATACATGTGTATGTTGGCTGAGAGGATTAATTCAGGTCAGGGTAATAAAATCCAGTACAGTTTTATTGGGCATAAGAGGCCATCTGAGACTTGAGTTTCTCCTAAGCACAAAATGTAACAGCAGCTGAAAAGAATAGAGGACTGAGTCTTCCTAACTGCCTTTTCACGGCTTGCTGAGGTACATACCAGGAAGTGCTGGGACACCCGTCTGCAGGCCTCAGGAAAGCAGGTGGGTTGGGGAGGGAAACCCTGGCCTGTGCCGCGGTGGATCTGCTCTCTCAGTGACCCCTTCGATGCACACCCCTGCACCATCTGCACCCAGGTGACATGAACTTGCAGAGAGAGTCACTCTGTCCATCCCACCTCCCTTTGGGCTCTGCTTTTTCTAAATTTCTTCTGAAAGTGGAAATTCATCCATCCATTTTGAAGTATGGCACTCTTGAAGGAGAACCAGAGGCCCTAAAAGATTTATTTCTTCAGATTTTTAAGTCTGGAGAGAACCTAGAGAAAAAGCCCCTTGATTGCCGGGAAGCGAAATAATTTACAAAGCTAGAAATTTTTATTCAGTGGGGGCAGCTGGATGTTTTCCTCACCCTTTATTCAGCCCAGCTTCTAAGTTATCTATCTCTCAACCAGCCTTAAGTCCCCATCAAAGAACTGGCCTCAGGGCCATTTGCCTGGTTAAATTCAGAGAGTCCCCCTACCCCTGAGGTCCTTTGAAGCTGCTACATTTGTGGGAAAATGGGCTGCTTCAACAAACAGTTCCCCTCTCACCTTTGTCATCCTCACTTGGCTTTTGAAGTTTCCAGGGCTCTGTTTTAACATAGAAACAGCCTTTAAAGGACAGATCTTGTGTGAAAAAACATCCCCTGGGAGGTGGTGGAAAGTCTGGCCAACATGATGATTTGGTGCACAAGTCATTGTAGCGTGTCATTGTAGCGTGGTCACCAAGATGGAGATAATGAGCACACCCTTCAGCTCACAGAGCTCCCGCAGTTAATTCATGGGGGGTGGGGGGCGGAGAGGAGGGAGAGGTGGTGAGTGGAGTGGAGTTGGGGAGGCTGCTGCAGATCTGCTCTCAGCAACTTCCCTGTATCCCAGGCTGTTTTAGCTATATCAGCAAGCTGGGCATGACATCCTCAGAATTTGTTCCTGATAGCTGAATATTTAGCCCTTTTGACCACCATCACCCTTTCCTCCCACTCTCCTAACTTCTGACAACATCTTTCTATTCTCTGTTTCTATGAAATTGACCTTTTTCCACAGGAGCTTTAAAAAATTCTGCTCCCTGGGCCTGCTCCAGAGCCTGACCCAATTGAGCTGAGGCTTGGCTTCAGCAGCAGACTGTTAAGAGTGTCCCAGGTGATTCTGTCAGAATCTTAGAAACTTAGTATCTAGTCTAAGAATGGCTTTCAGTCCAGGATGCATATTAAAATCTCCCGGAACAATTACATAAATACCAATGCCTAGACCAATTTTAGCAAATGTAGCCCGCAAGGGTGAGCTGAGTAAGCTGCAGGGGAGGAAACACGGCTCAGCAGGACTGCAGGCCTCCCCTTCCCTGCAACACCAGCTGCTGGGCATGTCCAAGCTCACCCTGCCGCCCCCTCTACTCTTCCTACTCGGATCCAGCCCTCTAACATTCTTGCCCCTCCTACAATTTAGAACTGGCCACCGGACTTAGCCCACCAAGTCTGCCCTATGGTATATACCCTGCAAAGTGACACGTGGTAAGGAGCCAACACGTGGTGTCCTCCCTCTGAGGACACCACAGTCTACTGTTGCATACAGATTATGTGTATAAACCCCCCTCCAGAGCACTGCCTGTTGACTGTGTGAAACTTGCAGGCTATTGGAATGACAGTGTGCAGTAGTGTTATTTGCGAGTGTATGTGTTGGGCCATAGGTGTGGGAGTAGGTGCTAGTGTGGTGTGTATGTAGGTGAGTGTATATACATGGGGTGTATATATGGGATGGAAGTGGTGTTATATCAGGTTGGATTTCAAAGGCGCTAACTTCCACCAGAGTGGAATATAAGCATACAATTCAATCAGCAGTAAAAGCAGGGAGAGATACGAACTTCTTGACAAGACCTGGAAACCATTAGTTTACAGAGAATCAGTTTGCATAGGGGAGGACACCTCTCAAGGCAGATGCCGCTGGCGGTTCTCATCAAACCTAGAGAAGGCTTCATGGCCATACACATGGAGTCTCTAATCATCTAATATTAATTTATACCACTTTTCAGAGGTACATTATCAAGACTGCCTGTTACTTTTAATTTAGGTGGGGCCTCATAGCCTTGCACGTTTTAATCTGTCCTTGCCTTCCCCATGACTATTTATCAGTGTCTTGTCAACAGGTGATTGCTTTTTTTAATTGATAACTTAAGACAGTCTATCTCACTTGGCCCACCTCTCAATCTGTCAGGATCTTACAATGTTAACACATATAACTCTGGTGTGTAGGTGTGGGTGCATGTAATTGTGTGCATGTATTGTGGAGGTGGGTGTGTGGATGTGGTGTGTGGATGGATATGTGTGTCCATAGATGTGAGCGTATGGATATGTCTGTACAAGTGTGGGTCTATCATGTGTGGCTGTTTGTGTGTCTGAGTGTGGGTGAGTGTATGAGTGGGTGGGTGTGGAGGTATAGGGTGTTGTGTGTCTGGGTGTGGAGGTATGTGGGGGTATATCCATGGGAGTCTGGGTGGGTGTATATTGTTGTGGGGGTGGATGTGTGTGGACGTGAGTTTGTGTGGCAGTATGGGTGTACTATGAGTGTAGGGGTGTGTGTATGTTGAGACTCAGGTGAGGCATCGGACTGTTGCACTCAGATCCCTAAGATAACCCCTTACCCACTCTGTGGCCCCTTCCTGGGGATGCTAGGTGGCCATTTCACCTGCGTTGGGCCTGACCCTGCCACTTGGCCTCTGGAGGCTCATTACCCTGAGAGGCAGCCACTGCGATCCACTCTCCCTGGGTCCTGGGCTCTCAAGAAAGAATCTCTTCATACCCCGCCCTCCCTGCCCCAACCCCAATTCAGGGATCCTTGAAGCAGGGGCCCCCACACCCGCAGAGTGAGGGTGCCAGCACATGTTTGCTGAGTTGCTAAACGTTTCTTCTCTGCAGCCAGCCCCACGTCTGTCTTGAGCTGCCGGAGGCTGCTCTGGGAAACTGGAGCTGTCTGTGGCCACACGCTCAGGGTCTGAATTGGGAATCAAGCCTGAGGCTTTGAGGCTTTCCTCCTAAGTCTTTAAAGATGTAGATGAAAGTCATGGCCTGTTCATTCTATTCAGAGACATGCAGCTCTCTTCTCAAGAGGCCGCCTCACCACGGTGACTGGTCACCCGGCGTGACTCGACTGGGAACATTGAACTGACCATCCCACCCACAATCATTGTCTCCTGGGGACAACCTCACCCTCCTGACAGGGACCTCGGTCAGAGGGATTTTTCCAGATGGAAGGATCTGTCAGCATAGGGTTGAGTTGAAACTGTGAAACCTGTCTCAGTTTCAAAAAGCAGGTGTGCTAGGCAGGGAAGCTTTGCCTCAGGTGAGCCGTGCAGACTGTTCCCTTTGAATATTCTTAGGAGGCGACGTGGGGTGTTTGAAGAACGCAGGCTGACTATAGAGGCCCCAGTTCCTCAGACACTGGCAGCATAGATGACAAAGGCACAGCTGGAGCACTTGGGGGAGGCTCCTGAGCCTCCTGCTGGCCTGGCGATGCCCTCAGAGCACCAGGGATGAGGCACCTCCTCATTTGTTGGTGCCCTTCAGAGTTCACTTTCTTTCCCTTTATGGGAACAAGGGGTAGGATCTGGAATGAATGGAGTTCATTCTAGTCACCCTGTTTGGGGCTCTGCACAAGGCATACTTCCTTTCTTCAGGCCTGATGTCTGCTAATGCTCCCGCACTGGGGAAAGCCCAGGACCAAACCTTATGCCTTAGTTCTTTTTTCCCTGAAGCACAGGGATAGCTCATGTGGCTTAATTACACTGTTCAAAAGCAGGTGAATGAGAGAGGAAACTACAGAAGATAGTCCTGTACCTGGTGATCAAGTGTAATCAGTTTCCTGTGTAGGAAGATTTCAGGCATTTCCTGAGGTGTTTGGGGTAGGGGACGTGACAATTTATGGTCTTCAGAAACCAGTCATCACAGAATTTATGGAGATTGGCAGCTTGCTTAGGAGGGATAAGACAGGCGCAAAAGAATTCATTTTGAAAATTACAGCCGTGCCTGCAGCTCAGGGACTTCCAGCTCGGCAGCCCTCGGCAGCGAAACCTGCAAGCACTTCTCGTGTCCTCCCCTGCGGTGTGGCCTGAGGCCGGCAGCCACATTTCCCCACTAGATGTACCTTCATATGTTAAGCACTAGTTCATGGTAGACACAAATTAATTGCAGTGAGGTTTGTACAATGCTTAATGGAATAAGGGACTGGTTCTCCTAAAAAATTGCCTCTGTGAGTCACAAAACCAGAAAAAAATGAGTGCAGCACTTCAGAACCAACTTGCCAGCTCTATAATTGACAACATCAGAATTTTTATATATATATATATTTTTTTTTTTTTAAGATTTGTTTTATTTATGCATACAAGAGCTAGGGTAGGCCAGAGGTTTGAGGGGTGAGAGGATTCACCAGAGACAGAGTAGGGAGCAGAACAGGTGGATCTACTGAAATACACTGCTGATGGGAGGAGCAGGTGAGACAGGAGAGGGGCCCTGCACCATGTGGACTGTTCCCTGGCAGGCTGGGGATCGATCGAAGTGCTCCAGTGGCTGGCAATAGCTTGATGGCACTGTGTCCCTAACCCCTCAATAACCAAGGAGGCCCAAACATCAGAATTTTTAATCTCAATTTTTTTTAATTTCTCAAAATTAAAGTATCAGATCCTGAAATAATAAAAACCAGAATGTGAATCAGAGTGTTTGTGTAGACATTGTCAGTCCTCTTGGGTCTGTACCTAGGAGTGGAGTTACTGGGGCAGGACCTCCTTCCCACAGTGACTGCACCATCTTGCATTCTCAACAGTTGTGTATGAGGTTCCAGCTTCTCATCCTCAACAATGTTGCTTGTCTTTTTTTGTCTTAGCCATTCTGATAGGTGTCACTGCCATTGATTTTTAATCTTGTGGCACCTTGAAAGGATGTGTTTCCTTTTGTTTTTCACCTCTAGAACTTAAGGTCCTGGAAGATGGAGGCTGTCTTGAAATCTCCGGTCTCTAGCCTTAAATGTCTATTGGGTTGAATCAAATGCTGCTAAACCATGCTTTGTTGTTACCTGCATGTTTACTTCCCCAACTGCGTCATGTTCTGTGCTAGACAGCGCATTACACGCAGAGGAATAGACTGTGTCCTTTGTCTTCAAATAAATAGGTTGGATTGATGAGGCAGAGAACAAAATGTAGGCAGAAGAAAGAAATCTCAATAATTAGGAAGCACATATCAAAAAAGCAGATACGTATTTTAATAAATCTTAATTTGGCAAACCCCTAAATAAATGTTCATTTCCTTGATTGTGACCACAGGGATGGTGACTCTCACCTTGTGAAAACTTTTCATTTCCTGAGGTGGGAAGAGTGACTTATCGTTGCTGAGCGCCTCTGTCCCAGACATCAGGCTGCTGGAAGGTGGCAGATGGAAGCATCCTCAATCCCCTTATCCCTTTGTTTGGTTTAGAAGCCACACCCAGATAAGCTTCCACCACATAAATATAGAAGCTGAATGTTCTTTTCTTCTACCTTAGACCACACCTTCCTTCCCTGGTCAGGTCAGCACCTCACACGGGGCTACCTTAGGCCAAGGCCCATGATCTGAGAAAGTTGTCCTCAAGAAACCTTCTGGCAGGTTAAGAACTGGTCTGTGGTTCCCAAAGGATATCAGATGTTTTCCCTCTGAGCCTCTCCTTCTCATGTCGCCTTTACATGGAATGCCTGTTTTATTTTTTGTAAGATTTACTTTATTTATTTATGCATACAAAGCTGGGGTATAGGCCAGAGGTGCAGGGGAGGAGGGTAAGAGGATTCACCAGGGATTGAAGAGCAGAACAGGCAAATTGACTGAAATACACTACTGAGGGGAGCAGTAGAAGAGACAGGAGAGGTCTGTTGTGCCATGTGGGTTAACTCCCTGACTGGGGATGGAACTCATGCTGCACTGGCTGTTGATAGCTTCATAGGGCTGAGACTTAACCCCTTGCACCACCAGGGAGGCCCAGAATGCTGTTTTAACCCCAGTCATTCAAACTGGAACACTTTTGAGATTGAGGGATGTTACTTATGCCAAGATAGCAGGAGTAAATCAGTTCTGTCCTGGGCACAGAACAAACACATGGAGTGGGGGTGTGCTCATTCCATGTGTTTGTTCTCGCCTACCTGCTACATCTTTCCAGATCTTCCCTAAGAAGTTATTCTCTCACCTCCAGTGTACCCACACTGGGGACCATCTGTGGGCCCCACTCAGCTCTGCCCTCTTGCGTTTGTCACTGGGTTACATTTTCATCCTCCTTATTGGAACAGGCCCTGCTCTGTTGGGAACAGTCAAGGTGCTTGGTACTTACAAGGTAATTATAAATTCTCATAAAATGGAGGAAGTCTTGCTCACTGACAATCAATGATATAGCTGGATCTTCTTTAAGCCATGGAGGCATTTCCTCCAGCCCTGTTATCTTTCCTCCTTCCTCTTGATTTTCCCAGGCTTTCTGCTCAGGGTATTGATATTCAGGTAAACATCTATGTGTGGACACACATATCCATGTGGTCCAGTTGTCTAGAATTTTCCAGAAATTCTAATGCGCATAAATATTAAAACACCTTATGAGTGTTATGCTCAGTGAAATAATCAGGAGAAAGACAAAAGCTCCATGAGTTCATGCATATGTAGTATATAGAGAAAAAATGTAAATGACCTAAATAAAACATACATAAAGTTTTAGACTATATGACCAATGAATGATTACCAGAGGGAAGGAGGAATGGGCAGGGGAGTTCAACTAGGTAAAAGGGGTCAGTTGTACGGTGAAGAATAAAATTGGACTTTTAGTGGTGAACTTAATGTAATATGTACACATGTTGATATACCAAGAGCTTATAATGTTACAGATAGTGTTATTCCAATTTTACAAAATTATCTTTTACCAGGTCTTGTGAGGAGCATCTACCATCAATGTGTTTGTGCTTGTGAACCATGATATTCTGATTCATTTCTGATTCAAATCTTTATAAATTTGATTCCTTCCAGTTAAAACTTTCATCCAGCATAATTGCTTTAATAGAAACAACATTTTGCTAGCATGGAGCTGAGATTTTGTGCCTTCTGTTTTCCAGGATCAGTACAAGTTCTGCTATGAGGTGGCCCTGGAGTACTTGAACTCTGGCTGACAGCTCGGCAAACAAACCCTTTCATCTCACAAAGCCAAGATGTTCCGCGGTATTTGTGTAGATGAGATGAAGACTTATCAATATGCTTATTTTGCTTTGCATAATTGGCTCTTTTTAAGAGCCCAAAAAGTGTTTATAAAACTGCTTGCACTGCCCAATTCCCAGTGATGCTGCAGCCCGACAGAAACACACAGCAGACAGTCTCAATACTGCACTCCCGGCACTGGCTTGTTAGAGCAGCATAGACATCTGGTCAACTGAAGAGCACAATTATATTCTTATGAAGGAATTTGTACCTTTGGGGTATTATTTTGTGGCCCGTGAACCTTTGTTATTGTTAAAGCTGAGTGTACATTTTTGTTCTGTGGAGAATGCTACCTGGCATTATGATAATATATTATTTTAGTTAATATTTGTACTTTAACATGTTGCATAATATAAGTTTATGTAGCTTTCCAAGACTAACAGATAAACATATAATGAACAAAGATATGTTGTATGAGTTCTTGTTTCTATCAGATTTGTATTGTTTCAAGGGAAAAGCTTGGGAGGAATTCAGTTCAAAAATGCAAAGCCTAATGATTCAATTCACAGATCCAAAGCTTTTCCATTTGTTTATATTGTAAATATTTTTGATTTCATCAAATTATTTATTCATTAAAAGAAATTTTTGTGAAGCACAGTGAGTGACAATCATTTTTATTAAACCCTGGAAATTATGTACTGTATGATGTTACCTTGTGTGAATTCTCAACTCAATAAATAAAGACCCGTGACCAGCTGTGTGTATTCCTAGTGTCCCAGGGCCCAGCTGATGAAGGCAGCTCCAGTCACCCCAGGCCAGAGAGATGGCACCTGGGATCTGTTTGCCTGGATCAGGTAGAGTTGGGATTTTTGAAAGAATTGTCAGTGAGAACTCAAGGCCCATCATGGGTGCCTCTCCTGGTGCTGAGGGGAGTCAGGGAGTGGATCTCCCTAGGGGGCAGTCTAGTCAAGAGGCCCGATGGCAGGATGGTGACTTCCTGACCCGGAGAAACCTCTCCTTTCTGTTTCACCTCAGCCAACTAGGCATAAAATCTATCCTCTCCAGGCCTAATTCAAACCTGAAATTTGCTGAGAGAACACATATAAAGGTCATAGGACCAGAGTATATTTAAGTATGAAACTCACAGCTCTTGTGCCTCTTGCCAGAAGGAATAGAACACAGGCCGGCAGCCCCATGCTCCTGTAGGGCTGTCTGTAGGCTGCAGGAGAAAGAAGCTATGCAATACACTTAGGACTTTCAGGCTGTGCTGGATGGTTGCCAATAGGGGAAGAAGATGAGCCTTTTTCAAATACCAATTCTGCGCCAGAAACTGCAAGGAGCTTCCCAAGTAGCAGCAGATCCTCCCAGTGAAAGTATAATCCAGGCCATCTTACAGCTGGAGAGATTCAGATGAGCAGAGATTGAGTGTTTTTATCATGAAAGAATGTGGGATCTTGGGGAAAAAAATTAAAAAATTAATTTTCTAAATTACCCCAGCTGGTCAGGACAGGTGTGGGGAGGCAGCACATAGTGTAAGACCACTCTGCTGAGATAGGGAGATAGGACACATCACCCACTCTGGGAAGGGTAAAGGCTCAAGAATGGTGTTCCTGCTGGCTCTGGGGATGTTGGTGGCCAAGGATAAGAGCAGAAGTTGTCCATCAGGGGAATGGAAGTTGACATCTGCATCTTAGGCCTGCACTGCTTTGCGATTCTCGGAACATGCCATCCGTACTGTTCTGATTGATACAAATGTCCCAGCCTTCCCAAAAGAGTGACGCTTCCTATGTGATCAGAGCTGGCTTGGACTCCTCCAAGACAATGGCCTCTTACCATGCCCACCCACTTCACTCTGATAAGCCCCTAGAAAATTAAAAACTGTTATTCGTATGTATCTTCAAAATGGCTTCTCCGGGATACAAGAATAGAGGTAAACATATCTGGAAATCTGTGTGCCAGATGGACTACAGCAAGAAGGGAGGTGCCCTCTGTTCTCTATACAGTCATGGCTCTGGGCTTCATGGCTCCGCTCTTGACTGGGTGAGATTGAAACGATGTTTGCATAGTGCTGAAGTGAACTGAGACTTGTGAGTCTAAGCATACAACCCTCTCCCTGGTCAAACCATTCTTCATTTAAAAAAAAAAAAAAAAAAGCCCATCTCACACAGAAGACAATAGACTCCCCTTGACTTGGAATCTCTTGGATTTTTATCTTTCACTTGGCTTCACATTTTAGCAGAAATAAATGTAAAAGGGATGTTTTGTGCTCCTGATTTCCCATGAGGCCTTGCAGCATGGTAAAAATTTCCTTTTATTTGCAGCACACAGAGTCTGCTCCTTGCAAACACAAGAGGCTGAGCTTTCTGCTAAGTGTCCCTCTCTGTCTTCTCCGTACTCTGGATTCTCATCCACTGGGCATCTTTAACTTCCCAGACACTTCCAGGCCTGTGACTACTGTGAAAACCAGATGATCCTATCCCCTGACTTCCATGTTTAAGGCCTTCTTTTTTTTTCTTAACTTATGCAATAACTGGGGTATAGGTCAGAGGTGTGGGAGGGTGAGAAGATTCACCAGAGACAGAGCAGGGAGTAGAACAGGCAGAAGGACCAAAGACACTGCTGAGGGAGCAGAGGGTAAAGCAGGAAAGGTCTGCCCCACCATCTGGGTTTCTCCCTGGCCAACCGGGGATCAAACCACGCAGCAGAGGCTGAGGACAGCTTCACAGCGCTGCGATCAACCCGCTGCGCCACCAGGGAGGCCCCCAAGGACAACTTCTTAACAGCATTTCATTTGGGTGCTTTGGTGGCTTTGCTATATGTCAATGTGGTTTACCTGAACTCAGAACTCCATCCTCTATGTGTTTCCTGCCAGGTGAACATTGTGTGAGATGTGGAGATGAAAAGTAAAGCAGCAGTTACATTGTTTTCTCACTCAGGGACTGGACCAATTGTGTGAGCTGCATGAGTACACAATTGCTTGACCTTCCCACCAGCACTCTCCTCAGAGTCCTGCAGCTTCTGCTGTCTGGATCCAAACCCATGATCCCATGCTTGTATTTTCAAGTTTTGTTAAGACATCTCAGCTCCACACACTAATATCAGTTTTTATTAGTTATTTAGTGTGGAACAACAAAATCTAAGCTAAAAACACAAATATTATCATGCAGTTTCTATGGATCAGAAATTCAGGCGGCTTAACTGGATGATTCTGGTTTGCAGGTCATTATTGAGGTGACTGTCAAAATGTTGGGTCAAGGCTATAGTCATTGAGAGCTTGACTGGGACTGTTGGATCTCACCAAGTTGGCTCACTCACTGCCTAATAAGTTGTGCTGGTTTGTAGCAAGATGGCCTCAGGGCTTCCACAGGTGTGCCCCTCTACCAGCTACTTGTGCTTCCTTTCAGCATGATAGCTGGCTTCCCCCCAGTGACCCAAGATGAAGCAAGGTAGGAGCCACCATTTCTGACCTAGATTTGGAACTCAAATTCATTTCCATAATATCCTGTCGGTTACAAAAGTCATCCATATTTAGTGCAGGAGGGGACACATAAGAGCACAAATACCAGGATGTGAGAATCAGTACAGGCCACTGAGAGATTAGGCACCACCTGCCAGTCCACTTCAACCATCAGCTGACACCTCTATGACATAACAAAGGGACATGACAAAACATATTCCTGGAACATAGTAAATCTTATTTCTGGGATACCTGCCCTGTCAGTCAGGGTCTTTCCATCTTGCTATGCATTTTTGTTCTGCAAGCTGACATTACCTACAGTCATTTTTCACCATGCCCTAAGTAACCATTATTTAGCTGTAAATAAACTTTCCCCACAGTCTTTATTAACATAGTTTTCTTTCCCCCATGCTCAAAGACGGGGCCCCCTCTAAAACTGTCTTTTTCATATCACAAATACTTTCATTGGTTGCCCTTCATACTCCACTTAAACTTATTGATGGCCACCCCCTGCAGCTTGTCACCTTGAACTGCCTCATTTCAAAGATCTTCAATTAATATGCCAGAGGGCCTCCCCTGGTGGCGCAGCGGTTGAGCGCTGGGCTGCGACGCTGCCCGCAGCCTCTGCAGCGCCGGTTTTTGTTCCCCGGCCGCCGGCGAGGGTCCCACAAAAATAAAAAATAAAAAATAAATAATATGCCAGATTCTGACCCCAAACTTTTTAACCACTACCTTTCTCTTTGCCTTATACCTGCCATCTTTGTTCTTTAAATTTATGAAGACCTGCAGTTCATTCTGATGGAGCACCACTTTTTTTCCTTGTAAAGTTAATTTCCATGCCAACGCCTTCAGTGCTCTTGACTCCGTGTAGTTTCGTCACGACCATGCTACAGATAGTCAGTTTTAGAGAAACCTATCAAGAACTTCCAAATGCAGACAAGCTAAAATAACAAAAGCTATATTTACTCTTCTAACTAAAACAACATAAAAAGGGGGAGGGTATATATTTTTTAAATTAGTTTTTGAGACACTGCTCATCAAGTAATGAAGGAAACTGGAAACTATGTAAGCCTTAGGATTGCCGCTGCTCACAACCAAGAGAGAATTTCCAGATTATAGATGCAGGGAGGGGAATCCATGCAGAGTACAGTGGTCTCTCTTATTTGAAATGAGAGTTCCTTTACTTTAACTGAGAGTTTTTAAAAAGTCAAAAGATTGCAGAGCAGAGTTATCAGAGATGAGAAGTAATACATGGAGTAGTAATTCTGAAGATCTATCCTCCTCAAGTCTTCAGAGAAGTACAGATCAAGAAAAGCCTGTAAGGAAATTACCTGAAGGCAATGAACCACCCAAAAGATTACAGGGACCAACACTCATAGTTCACACAAGACCAGAATAGTTCCTATTCCCACTGGATAGAATACCCAGAAAGGACTTGCCTCAGTATTTTGGACAAAATTATCTCTTGATTAACACAGCTGTGGTCCTGCCTAACTAAGAGGTAACTGAAAGGATCAAGCTGTTTCCAAGTAACTTAAACGTAGCACAGAACAAAACTCAAGGATATTTATAGAAATATACAAACACCCATGCTGTGAAAGTAAAATTAACAATGTCTGGAATCCAATCCAAAATTAGCAGCTCACAATGCCAAATATGTGACACACGATGAGAAGAAAAATCAATCAACTGAAATCATCCCAGAAGCAACATGACTGATAAAATTAGTAGACAAGCACATTAAAGCAGTTATTTCATAATTGTCCCCCGATGATAAAGAACTTAGAGAAAAGATTTCTCATTTATAACAAAGACATGGTAGATATTTTAAAAGACCCAATAGAATTTTAAGAGTTAAATAACTCTTAAATACAAAAACATGTAAAAAAAAATATGCTAGATGGGGTTAACAGCACGTTAAACTGCAGAAGAAAAAATTAGTGAACTTGAAGACATCAAGAAAAACTATTCAAAATAAAACACAGAGAGAAAAGTATGGACAAAACTGAACAGAGCATGAATGAACTGTTGGTTCACTGTTTTCCCAAAGAGGGGAAATGAGAAGGGACAGAAAAATATTTGAAGAAATAATGGCCAAATTTTTCCAAAGTTGATGGAAATTTTTAACACAGAGATTCAAGAAGCCAATGAAATCACAAGCTTCAAAAACATGAAGATAATAATGCCAAAATAAATCATAATCAAATTAATTATCTAATAACAAAGAGAAGATCTTAAAAGCAACCAGAGAAAACTATGATCAGAGGAAGATAAAAATTACAGCAGATTTCTT